TGGGCCAGTGAAGCAATGTCCTCCACAACTAGACTGAAGAACAAAAGGACAGCAACTTGTCTGTTCCCTTTCCCCCAATTCCCCAGCGCTGTTCCCATCCCCCAATTTCCCAATAAAAATCTTTAAAAAAAAATCAACTAAACACAAAAGAAGGCAGTAATAGACACAATGAAAGACAAAAAAAAGCTACAAAACATACAGAAAAGAAATAGCAAAAGACAAAAACAAGTTATTCCTATCAATAATTACTTTCAATGTAAATGAACTAAACTCTCCAATCAAAAGGCAGAGATTGGCAGAATGGATCTGTGATGTTGTGATTTATAAGAAATATATATTTGGTCTTCATCCTACTTCCTGGCACACAGGTCCTAAAACCTTGGAATTTCTTAATCAATGAGCCATGAAAGTGGGAGTCTTTTGTTACTCATAACAAGGCCCTTTCAATCCCACGGAAGTTTGTGTTAATGAGGTGACTTTTGGAAAGCTCCGAAATAACCAGAGGGTGGGAGCTGGTTGCCAGGAGAACCAAGTAATTAGAGGGTTGGGACTTGCAACCCCACACTCTGGGGAGGAGAGAGAGGGGCTAGATGTTAAATCAATCACCAATGACCAGTGATTTAATCACATGCCTATGTAACAAAGCCTCCATAAGAGTCCCAAAGGATTGGGTTTGGAGAGCTTCTGAGGTGCTAGCAGGGTGGCCCACCTGGCAGGGGCATGGAAGCTCTGCACTCCTTCCCACATTCCTTGCCCTACACATCTCTTCCATCTGGCTATTCATTCATATACTTTGAAATATCCTTTGTAATAAATTGGCAGGAATAAGTAAAGTGTTTTCCCGAGTTCTGTGAGCCATTATAGCAAATAATTGAACCCAAGGAGGGGGTCATGGGAAATCCAATTTATAGCCAGTTGGTCAGAAGCCCAGGTGACAACCTGGACTTGTGATTGGCATCTGAAGTAAGAGCAGTCTTGTGGGACTGAGCCCTTAACCTGTGGGATCTGATATGATCTCCAGCTAGATGGTGTGAGAATTGAGTTAAACTGTAGGACACCCAGTTAGTAATATCCACCAGAGAACTGGATAATTGCTTGGGACGGACAAACACATTTGGTGACCAAAAGTATCAGAAATATTGAGAAGTTGAGGGTTTGTGTAGGAGTAGAGGAGAAACAGCATTTTTCTCTCAGGATTAAAAAAATATATATGATTCAACTATAATCTGTCTTCAGAAGACTCTCACTTTAGATCTAGAGACACAAATAGGGTGAAAATGAAATGATGGAAACAGATATTCCATGCAAACAGTAACCAAGAGAGCTTAGGTGGCTATACTAATATGAGAAAAAAAGACTTTAAGTCACAAATTGTTACATGAGACAAAGAAGTACATTATATATTAAGAAAAGGTATATTTACCAGGAAGATATGACAAACATACATGCGGTCTGACAATTAAGATCGAGAATTCATCCTAGACAAAGTGCTACATACCTCATTGCTGAATATCACAACGGTCACCTTTGAAGTACTCCCCTTGGGAAGATATGCACCAAAACCAGTGCCTAGTCCATCCTTCAAAGCAATTTTGGAATTCTTTCTGGAATGGCCATCAGAGCTGTCATCACATTACCCTTGATGTCATGAATATCATCAAAATGTCTTCCTTTCAATATTTCCTTTATCTTTGGGTAAACAAAGAAGTCATCGGGGCCAGATCAGGTGAGTAGGGAGGGTGTTCCAATACAGTTATTTGTTTACTGGCTGAAAACTCCCTCACAGACAGTGCCATGTGAGCTGGTGCATTGTCATGATGCAAGAGCCATGAATTGTTGGTGACAAGTTCAGGTTGTGTTTGTCTAACTTTTTCATGCAGCCTTTTCAGCACTTCCAAATAGTAAACTTGGTTAACTGTTTATCCAGCTGGTGTAAATTCATTAAGAATAATCCCTCTGGGGCCGGCTGAGTGGCTCAGTTGGTTACAAGCTCGCTCAAGAGTTTGAGCTCTGAGCAACAGCAGTTCAAGTCCTGGCCTGAGCTGAGCAGCTGCTGAGCTGCCAACAGGTGGCAGGATGGCTCAGCTAAAAAAAAAAAGAATAATCCCTCTGATATCAAAAAAGGTTAGCAACAGAATTTTGACTCTGGATTTGGACTGATGGAACATTTTTGGTCATGGAGAATTGGCTGACTTCCATTGTGAATTTTGACACTTTGTTTCAGGGTCATATTGGTACATTCATGTTTCATCACCAGTGATAACACGGCCCAAAACATTGTCTTGCCTCTCCAAAAGGTCTTGGCAAACTTCAACTCTCCTTTGCTTTTGTTCATTGGTGAGGTCCTTTAGGACCATTTTTACACATGCCTTTGTCATTCCAAGATTTTCAGTTAAGATTTTCCTAACTGTTTCTCTACCAATGTATACTTGGTCTGCTATGCTTCTCACAGTCAGTTGATGATTCTGACACACAATGTGACGAATTTTTGCAATGTTTTTGTCAGTTCTGCTCTTTACTGGCTGCCCTGACCTCTCTTCATCAGTGACACATTCTCTCCCCTCAGAAAAACATTTAATTCATTTGTACACTGCCGTTTTCTTCATGGCGTTATCCCCATATACTTGGATTAACATGTCCCAGATTTCACTTCCACTCTTGCCAAGTTTAACAAGAAATTTAATGTTTGTTGCTATAATTCAAGTCCAGACATTCTAGTGACACCACAAAACACGCAACAACAATAATGAACGCCACTCAGCAAGACACCGCCACATGTGGACATGAACACAGGTGTGAGGCACTGATATACCAAGGTTATGAAACCTTATCAAATATTTGTACAGTGCTGCCAATGTAAGCACACGGTGGCAAGTTAGCGAACTTAATTGTCAGACCTCGTACGCACCAAATATCAAAGCCCCAAAATATAAGAAGCAAAGATTGCCAGAATTTAAGGGAGTAATAGACAGCTTTATAATAATAGTTTGAGGCTTTAATACACCACTTTCAAAAACAGACACAACAACCAGACAGATGATCAATAGGAAACAGAGGATATGAACAACTCCAAAACAAATGATACCTAACAGACATACACACAGTATTCCACCCATCAATAGCAGAATGTATATTTTTCTCAAGTGCACATGAGACACTCTCCAGGATAGACCTCAAAACAAGTTTGGCCACAAAACAAGTCTTAATAGATTATAAGAGACTGAAATTATACAAAGAATATTTTCAGATCACATGGAATAAAACTAGAAATCAATAGCAGAAGGAACACTAAAAAATTCATAAGTATGTTAAAATTAAACAACCAATGGATCAAAGAAGAAATCACAAAGGAAATTAGAAAATACCTTGAAACAAATGA